TTAATAATTGCATATCTAGATATGACATAAAACATTCCCAACACAATATTTATATCGAACGCCATTTATACCTGAAAACGCAATGTGTTCTCGATTGCTTGTACCAATATATTACGTGTTTACATTGCAATACAGGGAAGAGTCAATACCTCTTTTTTTCTATTCTTGATTGGCTTGAAACAGCGAAATGAAAGGCGTTTTGTGAAAGTAAAGTGGGTTGTATTAAAAGCTAGTACAAAATGACAGGAAGGTAGAGAGCTGAGAGTCCTATCCATCTGTTCCATGAATCTAGGCAATTACGTAAAAAAACGCCGCAATGTAGTATCTTTGTACAGACTGTAATGCATGTATACACAAGAGCACAAGACTTACGAACAATCTATTGAAAAACTGTTATTATCGTATATTAACGATTCTGTTCAGTCGTGATTACTTTCTCCAGTAAAAATAGTATTCGATTCTCAGTGGGCTAACGGTAGTTGTTTGCATTTATTAATTGATTACTTATTGCTTCAAAACGATACGTATCAATGTTGAGCCTTTATACCATCTTGCATGGTCTCGATATAATAAACGCTGTCATGATGAAAGACGCACATTGAATGTACATGTGCCCGAGTAATGTTTAGCAGATCCATATGCACACGTCATAGTTACCGGCGTTGATTCCATTTTATACGGACAGGTCGTTAATTTGTTCTACTTGAAATTGTGAATGAGCGGTGGCGTACAGTGTGAATTGAACGACCTATTGTTTAAATTAGGGGTTATTTTAATCGCAAAAATATGTCAGAACGGTGCGGCATACATAATAATAATTTCGATGATTATTAATGCAGATACAAATTGGAGTGAGTGTGAATAATGATGCTATGAAAACTCAAATATTTTCTGACACTAATGATAAGATAAGTAACGTCGGATAAATTCAGTGATTACATGTATGTTGAATTTTAACCACCTAAGACGACCCTGCCCTAGACCTATCTCCACCAATAATGTGCCCCAACATCGTAACTAATGTAAACTCTGACCGGCTTACATATCTACGTCATTCAACAACAAAAGCAAATAATTCGTTATCAAGTGCCTCTCCGTGATAGGGGGAGGTTCGAATGATTGTCGTCATGGTTACCGTTGACAATTGATTCGTATGTACATATTTTAATACTTTGTTCGTACATGAGCGATGTCAATAACAGATCTCCCTGTTGTTGCGTTTTGTGCACGCCGTGTATATATATATATATATGTGTGTGACGTTACGGATAAACGCATGTAACGTTAACTTGTAATCACTTCACATATGTGCCGGTTTATTATTATTCTTATGAGTGAATGCTAGCTATTACATCGGATCTGGCGTTTTATGCGGAGGTGTTAATTACTCGACAAATGTATTGCTACTCGTAGATGAGAGGTACGCATTTGTTTTTTTCAGATTACATTTTATATGAAGCGCAAACAATAACTGGTAAGTGCTGGGTAATGTACTACTTGATAATCATAAGATATATTTTTGTTTGTTTCAGACTGTTGACATACATGGGTGATGACAGTCAGCCTGCATGGAGTCGATACTGTGCCACTAAACACCGCAAGTATGGAGTCCAGAATTACACTGATCTTGGTGTTCAAGGTAGGTATATTGTTTGTGTTAATCCTTCGGCGTAAACGGTGAATAGACATTATTTAATGTGGTGATTTTCGGGAACATTGGTATAAACATCGAATGAACTAATTAAAGATCGGGGTATGCTTATTGGATCCATTTTCCCCTACTGGATATGCAGATTATTTGTTTAAACAGCAAGAACAATAATATCCCATGATGCAATTTGTGAAATTGAGAAACCCTGGCTTTAAAATAAATAATCGCGAAGAATCATTCATGTTCAAAAGTGTGTTAGTCATAAATATCAGTGTCAATTTTAGAAAATGAACTGAAGTTTATAAATGATATTTTTAGCAATAATGTGCTAAAACGGTGCATAGATAATGTTATAACATGTTTTTGAAGTATCTTACTAGTCATAATATGATTTAAATTGATTACATATTTTGAGAAACCAGTGAATTTTCCGATAACGTTTATTAATAAGCTGAAACGCATTTTCAAAGCAGACTGTGGATTGTCCGTGAAACAAGAGGTTGATGATCTGTCCAGCTCGTCCTTAATTACTTCATCAGCACCACAGTCCTCTACCCCTACTTCTCCGACAAGCAAGATAGCATGCCAAGTATGTGGAGACATATCATCAGGACTTCACTTTGGTGTATATACATGCGAAGGCTGTAAGGTAGGCAACAACCACTGACACAATATAGACCACTGATAAGTATAATGTACAATTTAAAATCGTCAACCATGAGTGACGGATCACCATATTTTTTTCGAGAAATGTTCTTGAATTGGCAAGTTTTAGTTCAGGAGCTAATCTTCGTGTATCGGTCCAAATACAATAAAACGTACAGTTCGAGTAAATAACTAAACTTAGAGTTATCAAATGGAGACTACACCAGAGTTTACATATGTCAATTGTGTTCAGTCGTGGACAGCGTGTTTAAGTGGAATGTAAATAATACAGTGCTGTAGTATGTGTGTGTGCCAACTTGTTACCTCAATACATATAAACTGAAAACTCACGATGACGCAAATACGTATCTTAGTGTTATTTTTCTCTATACTTTGATTGTCCCATTTAATCATACCATATCTGCCTGCCTCGCTCGACCACCGGTACATTGTTTTGTATCACTGTTAAAAGATAAATAACCCACTACATGGACTACATTTAATATCGACCGATATAATGTACTCGTTAACTGGGTCGTACGCCTCACCTAGGTCAATGTTTGAACGGCGAACTTTTGCTGCTTTGTGACAAAATAGACTTACATATTATTAAAATACAGGTAAACATGAACAATTATGGACATATCTTTCATAATTAACGAAGAAATTATGGAAGTACAGAAAAGTGTGCAATATTTTTGGCCAGGAAAATGGAGCCGTTTAAATGTTTAAACAAACAACTCATACACTACTAGAATCTTAGCGCAGTTCATTGTTGGTGTGGTGCATTGTCATATCGTAACATTATGTGAGAACACGACTTATTGATTTACTTCCCGTGGCCTGTCGTACCAGTCGGTAACGCTAACGACTGCCCACGGTTGATAGTAATCACCTGTCTGTTGTTTAGCACACGGTAACATTTTTAGCTATCACGGTCTGATATCTTTGGTTTGGCTAGCAGTCTCGACAGATGGCGAATATTCCATATTGACCTACATTATAATGAAACTATGCCATATAGGTAACAGTCGTCTTAAATTTTGCCATCAGACTTTTATACATCCACACACTCGTATCCTCCTCAACCACGTTGTATACAGGTATGCAATCTCTGATTTACGATTCAAGTAGTGGCCTATTAAAATAATATTTAGTACCCGGTCACTGTGTAATACATTTCCAGACTTTAAATAAATATGGTGGCCTAGTTAGTTTAGTAGGCCAGATTATTTTTAGAAATTATTAAATCGAAAAGTTATTAAATCGAAAACAAATTATGTTGCAATTAAATGCATCAGGCGAGACACATGGATTTTCACAGTAACACTGTGGCTAACAGTTATCGAAGTGATAAGTTATATATTTGTTACAGAGAGTCACGGTGGACATATGTATACAGTGCTCATCAGATAATATTGGAATACTATTGGTAGTTCTTGGTGACCAGAATGCATCAGAACTGTTTGTTCGGTGGCTTAGTTTATATGACCTCTTAAATACAAGTGGCCACACTTGTGCCTCCAGTACAATCGTCGACCTCTTCTTTAGAATGTAGGTCAACATGTTTGCGACAGAGCCTATATAGTCAATGGCAATTACCTATTTCAGATCAATGCTTTTATTTG